AATAATAAGTCTACATCGACTTCAATATCTAGGTTCAAACCCTGAAACATAACAAGCCTCTGGTGTCTATAGAGCGGACATTCCAAGAAGAAGTGATAGGCATTTTCACAAGGAAACCAACATGAACAGAAAGGACTATCAACAATATTTACCCTAAATAGATCGTAATTGAGTGGGCTGCAATTATACCTTAATTTAGTGTGAATTATATTAATTTTACGATCGCCAAATCCAAAGTAGCTAGGAGCAGAAGTAACTTTACGTGATGTAGCTTTTTTAAATTGTGCAAAAGATTCTAAGGACCTAGTGGCTAACTCGAGGTTGTTCCAAGAACGAAGCTTAGATGGAAGAAAGGATGAAATGGTAGACGATAGTCTGAAATTAGGTATGATGAAATCATTGTTATTTCTTAATTGGTATCTAACAGATTCATGAATAACATTAGGAAGAATTCTGTTTAGAAAATCAGGAGTAATGCCATTTTTCATTTTGTATAATAACTGAAGTTTTCTTCTATTTCTCCTCTCTGAAAGTAGCTCTAATCCTGTTTCATAATACAGAGAATGGTTGGTAGCATAGGATGGGAGACCAGTGATAATACGGGCTGCTTCACGCTGACACTTTTCTAACATCTCACATTCTTGAATAGTACACCCGTCCCATAACTCACAACAGTAATCAAAGATAGGCAAGATAAACGAATAGTACATTTTTAACAAAGTTTCCCTATTCAACAATTTTTTTAGGGTTCTAAGTACATTTATTTTCTTCGTGACAGATTTGTGTATCGACATTATGTGATCCCCCCCAGTTATCTTTCGCATTTAACACTACTCCCAGGTGACGATGACATTCGCTAAAATTCAGTAACTCTTCGCCAAAATAAAGATCAAAATTTCCATCTAGGTCAAGGGCATTAGATATAAACAGAACACTAGTTTTTTAGCATTAAAATCAACTAACCAAGTTTTTGCCCATTTACTTAGTGACTCAAGATCTCGATTTAAAGTAATTTCTAATTGACGACAAGGAGAAGATGTATGTAGAAGGGAAGTGTCATCGGCAAAAAGCCTAGAGGTAGAAATCAGTAAATCGGAAATATCATTAATGTACACTAGAAATAAAAAAGGACCCAAGATAGAACCCTGCGGAACTCCTGCTTTAATGGAGCCAATGTTAAAGACCGAATTAGAAATAAAAACCTGTTGTTGCCTGTTAGATAAATAGTTAGTAAACCAGCTTAACAACTCTCCAGATATTCCATATGATTTTAGTTTTATGATAAGTCCCTTGTGCCAAACGCGGTCAAATGCCTTAGAAATATCACAGAACACTAAGCAGGCATGTTTTCGTTCTTCAACACAAACCAGCAATATTTACACGTATAACTTAAAGGAAAGGGAAAGAAAAGAAAGGGAATGTCAAAAAAGAACATAAGAAAGATATCAAACATTTGAGCAAGAATTGCTATCATTATGTAGAAAACAAAAAGATTTTTGTCGACAGACAGAGAACACATTACAAAATTATATTTAACATAAGATAATGCTGAAAAAAAAATATATATAACCATACACACACAGAAATCACAAAAACAAAAAATAACAAAAAAGTAAACAAATAAATTAAAAAAAAAAAACACACACACACACACACACACAATATCAAATAAACAGAACGTGAGCGTACATGCATGCTCTTTTGTATAACCACATGTAATACTCGTGTAAACATGAAAAGATAAACATCATACTCATACCTGTACATCGAAATTCAACATCGGCAACATCATATGATTAATATATTTGTAATAGAGTATAACAATGAAAATAAACAGTGAAAATAAACAGTATGACCTGGGTGTATATACAATATGTTTTGAAAAGGGTGTAACAAGAGAATAGAGACCTATAGTATATGTTCAGGTTTTTTACTTAGAGTTTGATAGGAATTTAAGACATGGAGAGAGCGAGAGAGAGAAAGATAAATGCAAGATAAATAAATGATAAAGAAAGTTCGTAACTCCAATGAAGTTTATCGAAACTGATTAAAGACAGAAGAACGCTAAAAAAAGTATGTGTAGTGCTACACACGAACTCGTGACGTTACAAGGTGAACCCCCATCAACATGGATGCTTACAGTGAATCATCGTACGACGGGTCAGAGGTAAGAGACGATAGCGATTGCGAACTAACCATGGAATTTTCTTCGTCGGAATATGAAGTAGATGACGCAGAAGGGATTCAGCCGTACCAGTTCGAACCAGAAGTAGGAATTGACGAAGATTTAGATAGCATTCCGCCAGCGACAGTAGAGGAGCGCTTGGGTTCAACCGACTGGTATGGTCACCTACCTGCTTTTATATTTACTTAAAATAATAATAATAAATTAATTCAGGATAAAGATGTACAGATTTGTATACAAAACATAAATATATGGCACATATGTTATACATAATCATGAATAAGTTGTTTGCTACATCTTTAATGTATCAACTAGTGATAGTTATAAATAAAACAAAAGTACATATATCCTAGGATTTCCAAAAAAAGCGTTGAAACGCTTATTTCCATTGGGGTCCTTAAAATGAATTTAGAAATGTATTTCCATCAAAATTAAAACTTATGTTGAAATGATATGTCATACAATGTTCAGAATCATCGCTAGTTATTAGCTCACCTGGCGCAAAGGGTTTAAACAACTTCTTCTGAAATACCGAAAGGCGTAGAGTTATCATATTTGGCTGGAAGGTTCCTTTGATGAAGCCCAACAAAGTTTGCGAAAAAAATAACCTACATTCAAGGTCACAGAGGTCAAACGTGTTAAAACCTTTAAACGACTTCATCCAAAATACCGGAAGGCCTAGAATCATTATATTTGGCTGGAAGGTTCCTTTAATGAAGCTTAACAATGTTTGCTAAAAGAAAAGACCTTGACCTATATTCAAGGTCACATATATCAAATGTGTTAAAATATTGATACCATTTCTTAGAAAATACTTGGAGGCCTAGAATCATTATTTATGGCTGGAAAGTTCCTTTGATGAAGCCCAACAAAGTTTGCGAAAAGAAATTACCTTGACCCATATTCGAGGTCACAGACGTCAAATGAGTTAAAACCTTTAAACGACTTCTCCCCAAATTCTGGAAGGCCTAGATTCATTACATTAGGCTACTATGTTCCCCATATTGTGTCCTACAAAGTTTGTTAAAAGACCAATAATTTTTTTACCAATTAAAATATATATGCAGTGTATTGTAGCCTGTAGGCCAACCGCTTTAGCCTTCAGAAACGCCGATGTTGCGCAGTTGAGTGTCCAGTGATTGCAAGTGTCGCTTAATTGTCAGTACTTGTCGGGATGTTTACCTAAGAAACAATAATGTAGAAACTGTAATTTGCACCAGGATGAGGTAAAATCATTCAAAGTCCTTTTCATGATTTTCTTGTGTCCATGCATTTTCCCCCTTTGTTCTCATATACTATTCTTTTGTCACAGGTGCCAATTTGAAAACTGCCAACAGCTTACAAATACATTTGTTGTGCTGACATAATGCAGGTACAGATGAGGTTGGAGAATAAATTGTTAATGAACAAAAAATGACAATCTGAAAAATAAAGGAAATTATACAATATGATACCCAGTATCTTGGTCGCTTCGGTATATAAACAAAGATGGCAGATCGCTGGTATGCGTGTAAAATCATTCAAAGTCCTTTTCATGATTTTCTTGTGTCCATGCATTTTCCTCCTTTGTTCTCATATACTATTCTTTTGTCACAGGTGCCAATTTGAAAACTGCCAACAGCTTACAAATACATTTGTTGTGCTGACATAATGCAGGTACAGCATGTAATAAACGAATTCCTGACCTGAAATGCATTACACAGCATCCTGGTTTGAAAGTGATACAGCTGACAGTCAGATCTCACGAAACAAATGTCTAGTGTTTCTTGGGGAATTGTTATCCTTTTTGTGTCTCCAAGTTGATTGGTACGATTTTCAGAATAGAATACCCATGCAACTTATAAAAGAAAGTCGATCCTGTGATAGAGTGACATTTTGTTTGTAAAGGATTCTACATTTGTAATTTGGACTGTCAGATCGATGTATACTGTAGCAGGCGATGTTGATGTTATTGTGATACTAATGATTTTGTGACAAAAATAACATGCTTGACAATATACTTGTTCTGTTATTTGTCATTTGATAGCTTTGTGTAAATGTCCACCGAATATGTCAGTACACGATGAATTGATATTGAAGTGTAAGTGAACGACAACCAGTTTTGATTACCAAAGAGACATATAGATGGATTAATTTCAACACCGACCGAATCACTGTAAATTGGAGTATACAGTCTCATACACTATAATTTAGCGTAGTGATGATATATAGGTGAATGCAACACAGCATGTAAATGGTCTATTTATATCTACCAGGATTCCTTTTTGGTGGACGTAGTTCATAGTATGATACATTCCTATCTGGTTTACATAGAACAAACGGGAAACTGGTGGTAGATTGGAAATATTCTGATATAAACTAAATTTGGGAACGACGCGTTTTACAGATAGCAGTATACATATACATTATTTGCAGATTGTTACATTAAAATCTGGCTGATATGGAAAGGTATGTAATAAATATCGATGACATCATGAAGTTTTGAATAGTATGACTAGTTTTTTTAAAATAAGCGATAAAAAAGGAGAAAATATATCTATTAGCAACAAACAAGTGCTTGCTACGTTCTCCCTCTCTGTTGTAGACATTTTGACAATGGAGTATATTGTAAGGAGAAGGTGGACAATCTCCTGTTTACTTTGTCTATATCCCAGCAGGAGGGTTGGGGATGGTTAACAGTGTAATATTAATTTATATAATGTTTACTATTTAACAGGTTGCCATTAACAACAACAATGCGTTTTATCAAAAATATGTATTAGATATCGCCGTGTTTTTATCATTAAAAAATCATGATTGTGATCATTACAAAGAACTAACTGATGCTATCAAAAGTCTTTTTCCATGCTTCAGCGAATTTAATGTCTTGTTCTTCTAAATAGTTTCTCATATACAAAATTTTGTATAACTCCACAATATCTGGCGGATTACTTGAATTCTCAGATGAAAGAAAACTCACTAATTGTTTACTTTTCTGGTACAAAGGTAATTCAGCGTTGAAATCTCTTAAAATATTATGAGCGTTTCTGTCTTGAATCACGTAAGGTGGAGAAAATGCTAAGCGAATGTCTTTTCTGTGAAGAAAATACTGTGCTATGTATCCCCTCCAAATGTCACTGACACGCCCATTTATACTGATTGGTAGTGCTAGATAAGGAAATGCAGGGCCTAACCACAATGTTGCCTGTGAATTGACTGGGGCAAATGAATTTCCTGGTAAAACAAACGGCCGATGGGATTTTCTTGTTGCCTGAAAATTGAAAGGAGCGTCGCGCGTCATCCTATAAACAGCATCTATGTCCGGTTGATCATTTGCTAACGATTGTATTATTCCGAGGTTAACGGCATCAGTTGAGTTACATAGTTTAGGTATTGTTGTTTTGTTCTTTATGTCCTGTAGTGGGAAACCTCTAGGCCAGGTGTAGGTTTCTGCCACTCCGAAATAAGGATATGGGTTAACAAGTGTGTCCTGTTCACCTTTGCAAATTGTGACGTAAGGAAAATGAACATCTGTTTTAAAATCGTCTAAATCAACCGTTCCATCATTATCATCATCGAAATCCCAGATAAACTTCGCCTTGTGATGGATGGCATACATATACCCGATATTCTTTCGCCCGAAGTGGTTAAATGGTATGATATCCGATAATAAAGGGTATAGGAAGCTTTGTTCTTCCACCGATAGATAATTTATTTTATTTTTATCTATCTTATTCATTCCCATATCAGAAACATAAGTACTCTCTGGTGGCGTCTTCTTGTCAGCCACTATCACTAAACACCAATTAGACAGTGATGCCATGTCTTTTACAGCTTTTGAAGGAGGAAAAATAGTCGTGACAACAGCCCAATTATCACATGATGGCATCTTGTCCACGATCGCCAAAGATTTGTATTGCTTGTATAATGGTTGAGGTAAAAGTGTCCTCACAATATCCCCCGAAAACAGCGACCCGGTCACGGCACCAACAAATTTACTAGATGGCGAAACTGCAGGCTTATTGAATTCATGAAGTAGTTGCATTATTTCTACCGATGATTTATGGTTGAGCACATATTTAGAACAGAAATCTGGTTTTACATATTCCATGATGATATCTTCCTTGCCACGACCCATGTGCACGATCCTGTTGTTATCACGTCGGTAATCTATATCATTGTATATAGAGAGCCAGGATCCTATAGATGTCCCGCCATAGTCAGTGTCAATTAAATCTATATTGGGGTCACATTTTGACCCATTACAATACATACGATTAGCGATTCTTTCTATTAAATCTCGACCAAGAACTACAAACATTTCATCCATACGCGTGTCTTCGTTTACCCTCCGTCCTTCGCCGTGTGACCATCCATAATACAATGTTGATGATTTGAGAGCATCTAGTCTCGTAAAAATTTGCGGAACACATAAAAATGTGTCATCATCTACTTTGGCTCCGAGTACAGCATCTGGAAAGTTTTCATATATGTACTTAAACCACAAAAACATTTTCTCTCCGAATTTCACCCCTCTTCCTTCACTTGTTGCATTGAGAAAAACAATATCGTTGTACTTTTTGTTTTCCAGTATGGTATCATTTGTTGGTCGATCGATAAGAAACTTGTAGGTTATTCTAAAGGGGAGCTCTGAATCTAATTGTTGTATAGTAGATATCCATGTTGACCGTTGTCCATCTCTGTACTTAGTATTCATATGTGGTGTTAACATACCAAGTACTATATGGGGTGTGTTGTTGAGATTTATGAACTGGGTTCGGGCTACATACACATATTTCCACTCATATTTTATATCTGTACATGTCCTCGTCAGGAAAATGTAGGCGAAAATTCCATAGAAGATAATGAAACAAAAAAGTTTGCTCTTCATTCCTAGAAAAGCCCTGATGTTCCATCTCAACGTAGTACACCTTCTAGACATATTGATTCACAGGATCCACACAGGAAACTACAAATGACAAGTAAAAGTATTTGTTAGTTTGATTAAAAGCTCTTCAAATGCATCGTGTATCTGCAGTAATTTTTATATGGAATATGAACTAAGGAAATGACATCTTAATCTAATGTAAATAGTTTGTATTTACGTCATATGAACAGTGATAAACATTCATCTTTTAATCTTCTGATACAATGTATTTAATGATTTCATGATAAAGATTTACTTTCATCTTCAGCAAATTCAAAAGTTATTGTTATATAGTGAAGAAGGTATAATGTAAATATGGTAAATAGTCATTACTAAGAGCTGAATTCAGTTTTACATGTTTACAGATGGATTTTTAAACGGCTTCAAAACCTGACATGAAATACCAGTTAACGGATTCTACAGCAAATAATTTAGTGAGTTAAAGTATTCAAATACTAAAATGAGGAGGTAGTAGACACTGTTGGTGGATTTTAGTCCCCGAAGTTTGCCGTAACCTTTTAATATTTAAAATCATTTTAATAGAATCACGATGCAGAATATACACACATACCTGACTAAAATAATCAGAACATTAAGAAATATATTGAATTCTTATGCTTGTGCACATTTTCTCTAGGTTCTGATATCTATTTCGACTTTTCGGATTTTTCTTAATTGCCTCCTGGCTTCATAATTTAGGCCCTTAACCTCACTGAAGAGCCTTAGGAAAATTAAGTAGCTGTATAAGGCAGTTTTATTCATCGTTTGTCTCTACTGCGACTATCTAAAATATACTAAAACGAAAAAGAAACGCCGTGTAACCTAAAAAGATTCTTTTAAATTATATAATTTAATGTTACATTATTTCATTCATTTTTGTATACAATTTCATCTGTTTGGAACCATTTGTTGAAGGTTCTATCGATTATCAATGCTAATTATGCCAAAAATATCCCCCTTTTAGCGATGACCCTACTTGTATAGCGCAACTCGGCCGGACATTTCACTATCTTGTGTGTCCTCCATGCGCAGCTGTCGCAGCCCTGATTCTTCTATGCATGGAATTCATCAGGCAGTTAACCCTTAAAATGGGGATGTTATTCCATTTTTCATGCAAGGCACGTGTGAGCTGGACCAGATTAGTGGGGGCATTTGGACGTCTCCTAACTCTCCTATCCAATTCGTCCCACAAATGCTCAATTGGAGACAAATCTGGGCTGAATGCTGACCAATCGATTGGGATTACGTTATTGTTGGCAAGAAATTGCTGACAAACTCTAGCGACATTGGGCCGGGCATTGTCTTGCTGGAATATCAGGTTCCGTGCTTGCACACATGGCACGGCAACTGGGCGAAGGATTTCGTCTCTATACCTTACACCCGTTAAATTACCGTCAATCACGATCAGGGGTGATTTAAACTCATAGGAGATACCGACCCAAACACATACTGAACCACCGCCCAACCTATCCCGCTCAGCGACGCACGCGTCGGTGTAACGTTCCCCTCGACGTCGATATACACGACGTCGCCCGTCCGAACGGTAGAGAGTGAACCGGGATTCGTCAGTAAAGAATACCCGTCTCCATTGCCTCATAGGAAAATTTCTGGGCGAGTGTGCTTGTAACCAAGCCAATCGGCGTTGGCGACGCGCAGGAGTTAGGGGCAGACCAACATAGGGACGTCGGGCTCTTAGGCCATTGACGCGTAATCGGTTTCGAACCGTATCAGGATGAATATGGCGGTTATGACTGTCTATAGTGTTATTTGCAGTTTCGGTAGCTGTGAGATGGCGATTACGTAAGTGAGAAAGTCTTATAAACCGATCCTGATGTGGCGTCGTGACGCGCGGACGTCCACTTCGCGGTCGGTCGATGACCCTCCCCGTCACTCGCACACGTTGGACAAGACGTTGAATTGTCCGAATATGCACACCAAAATGTGCAGCAACCTGAAGTTGGCCCTGACCCAGCAAAGGCATTCCTATAGCCTGTCCCCGCTGGACTTCCGTCAATCGTGGCATGGATGTGAATTGCTTAATTCGAATCAAACTTTGAAAAATCAATCCGAATACTTGAACAGTATCAAATAGACTGAAAATTTCCATTGGCGAACTCAATGACCTTCCCCTGCACGGGATTCTTGTATTTTAGCACGTGCCTTGCACGGAGCGCGGAGGTCAGGTATTGTGTGATTTTAAACACGTGTACCTAGTGACCGCGAACAACACATCAACCTGACCGAGTGTCATTATTCTAGGCCAAGCAATAAATCATTTGTAGTATATTTAGTGTACCCGGCGTTTCTTTTTCGTGTTAGTATATTTCCATCAATGTGTAGTTCAGTTGTGTTTCTTTTGTACAGTCTTCGTTATATGCTTGCATTCAAAAACAATTTTAGGTCTTGATATCAATGTTTTGAACAAGTACAATAAAGAAAATACTAAATGTCAACAGACTTTAATTCAAACTCAAAATCGCCTAAAAAGCAAAATCTTAAGAGAAAGATTTACTCTGAACTCCCCTGAAACCTACAAGAAGTCCTTGTGCTCAGTTGGCTATGAATCATGTATTAGGATATCATTTTACGAACGACACGCAAGTGAATAGCACCTTTCTAGACCAATTTAGACACGGGACAATTGGTGAGTCAACCAACGTCCATGGTTTAAGGGAGATCACTTAGGAAGTGATGTAAATGGGAAGTTTATTGCGAAGAAGATTCAGTAGACTGTCTTGGAACCTGATGCTGTATGAGCTACCACTGACAGCAATTGAAACCTTGGAGAGATGTACCAGCAGGAAGTTACGATCATGGCTGGGAGTACCACCTAGTTTCACGGCAGTTGGTCTGTACATCAAGACATCTCAGTTGCAGTTACCATTGTCCTCCATGGTGGAAGAATTAAAGGTGGCCAAGTGTAGATTGGTTATGACCCTGAAGGACTCCAAAGACATCAAGATACAGAAAGCTGGAGTGGTCACAAGGACAGACCGGAAATGGTCAGCTGGTGCTACAGTCAGCAAAGCTGAGAATACGCTGGAGTTACAAGACATCGTGGGAAACATCTGTGTTGGTAGACGAGGATTGGGAGTCGATCACTTCCAGCAGTGGAGCAAAGCAGAAGGCAAGGAAAAGAGAGACAGAATTGTATCTGTGGTGAGATCAGAGTAGAGCAGTTGAGTTAGGACAGAAAGGATCATGGACGCGGTGGAATCTTCCGGAACGCAAGATTACATGGACAGAAAATGGAAACCTCTCAGGATATCCTTTATGCTCAGATCTGTGTATGACACACTGCCATCTCCAAGTAACTTGTGAAGGTAGGGTCTTCTGGAAGATCCAACTTGTTCCTTGTGCGGTGGAAGAGGCACACTTGAACATATCCTATCAGGCTGTAGAGTAGCCCTCCAGCAGGGACGGTACAGATAGCGTCATGACCAGGTTCTAAGCAGATATTTTGGAAAAGGGGCGGCGTCAGAAGAGGTCACTGATAGAACCTCATAAACTTCACATACAGTTTGTGAGAGCTGGAGAGAAGGGACCACCAACTACTACTGCATATCATGTGAATGTTCTCAGCCAAGCACCATCCTGGGAAATGAGAGTAGACCTCAACAAGCGTCTCGCCTTTCCTGATGTAGTGCAAACCACTCTGAGGCCAGACATTGTGATATGGTCGCAACAACGCCAGGTCATCTTGGTGGAGCTGACAGTTCCATGGGAAGAAAAGTGTGATGAGGCACACGAGAAGAAAGCTGGCAAATACCAAGAGCTAGCAGAGCTGTGCAGTCATAAGGGATGGAACACATGGCTGTTTCCAGTAGAGGTCGGTGCCAGTATGGAAGATGTTCCAGAAATTGGGACTGACAGGAGCAAAGAGGAAAGCAGCTATTAAGACCTTGGCTGAAAGGGCTGAGAGAGCATCATGCTGGCTATGGTGTAGAAGAGATGAGCCAAACTGGAGCCCAGACAACAGTAAGCAGTGAGTGATCACCACTGCTGACCCGCCAACCAGAGGACGTCGTGGAATAGGGGTCGAAACGGCCGATGATGGTTGGAATTCACCTGACGATGCTGACAACAGAAGGCTCCAGAGCTCCATGTCATCAGTGCCTAACCGAAGCGGCGGTTGGGTTATCATTAGCAGAGAAATCTGTAAGTTCACAGTACACCTTATGTTGACTTATAGTGGTTTTTTTAATCATCACTGTCGCATAGAAATGAGTATGTTTTATTCAGCTGTTTAAACTGTTTTGATTTTAATTCGCCAATTAAATTTTGATATTTTAATGTATCTTGATTTATTAACTACACAGTCGAAAGGAAATAATTGATATAATCGAGAAGGTATGAATCCATTTCAATTCAGAATAAATAACAAATGGAAACATGCCTCTTGTTTTATGAGTTATGGGAAAGATAGGTGTACACAGGTATAACCTGTGATAAATGGATAAAAAACAGTATATGCCAGCACATGATCAATAATATGAGAAGACAGCTTACATATGGATAATTTCATTTGGTCAATTGTTCTCATTCACCATTGGTTGATTCAGACAAAATTGGTCTGAAATACATTTGTCCCAAACGAAGACATAAGGCCCTTAGGGCTTGTATTGCCGAATAAAAACATTTGAAATTTTCATATTTATTTCCCTTCTGAGGCTCTGAACATCGTTATACTAAATTAAGTTCTCTTAATCTATGGATACTTCAGACAAAATTAGAACAAAATTCAGTTATTCATAAACAATAAGAACAATATCAAAGAATTTGCTGTATTTTCAACACAACGGACATGGAGCAAGTCCAATCATTAACAACAGGCCCATGGGTCTGAACTGCCACCTGACTTTAAAGACCTATATAGAATAGATATGATGACAGTAGTATTAGGAAATAAGACGTAATGCTAAAATGTGTGCAGTTACTATTCCAGAAGCGAAAAGCGTTGAGTCAAGATTTACACGACTTTTCTTTTGAAATGCATTTTTAAAAAAGAATATGAC